GGGACTACTCACATGACAGGCCTGACAAGTTCAGTGACCAAAGGTAGCAACACAGGATGGTCTGATCATAAATTCCTAACTAGGAACATCATGGCCTGAAGTTATGTCCCAGGTCCCAGGCCTGTCACTCTCTTAAGTGCTCCCTGTCCACTGTTCTTATGCATATAGGATAACATACTTTTGAAATATCAGAGTGATTTTCTTTTGAAGACCCCGGAAAGATATAACCACAGGTACCAGAGCACAAGACCACCACAACAGAACAGGAAACCCCTCATTGTTGTTTGTTCCCCAGTTACCATCTCTATTAACTATCTTGCACCCACCAGTGAAAAGGAGTGTGTGCTTCTTCATTGTACTTGTGTCCAGTCATAGAGCTTTCCCTGCTTTGCTTCTCCTGCCCTCTTACTCTACACCATGGATTTCATACTAGCATACTTCCTCTACATTTTCTCCTTTGATTCTCAGTGCATGAAAGGAATGGCAAAACTACTGTCCTCCAGGGCATTTTCTCAACCCAAGGTGCTCTTGCTTCTGGGCCTTTCCTCAAAGATTTTGCCTCAAATAAACATATCAACTTTTCTACAGGTTTGAAGGGTTTTTTTTTGGTTGTTGTTTGTTTGTTTTTTGTTTTGTTTTTTGCTTTTTTTGTCAACATGTGGGGAGGTATGAGAAAAATGTAATTCTATCTTTTGTTCTTGATTTGAAAATGACTGAAATGAGAAATTTTATGGTAAGAATTAAAACATTATCAGTAATAGATTACAGTTGTATTTTGGGGTCATAAGAAATTATAAATTATTTTGCACTGCTATTTTTTAGTTATCTTTCCTATACAACAAAATAGTTATAACTTCACTATTCTTCAAAATTTTCCCCTAAACTACTAGAATGTTTCCACTAGAGTGCAAAATTGAGACAACATGCTATCAACATTTAAAGATACGGTGCAAGCCAATTCCCATTTAGTAGAAACTGTTTTGTTTTGTTTTTTAATTTAGTCTTTCTATTTTTTTAATATTACCTGGAGCCCTTTTAAGTTCCCTGAAAAACAAATATTTGACTTCATTCCTAGTATATAATAAAAGTGCAATCAGGAGACACAAGGAAAGCATAGTGAGGTCTTCTAAGGCTCATTTATGAATCATAAAAGGCTCGATAGTGTTAAATACCAATTGCAATGCTAAGGAAACATGCTGGGAAGCATTCACGCAGCTGGAAAACCATAGCACCAGGAGTCCTATTAAAAATAATGTAAAATAAGTGTAGATCTCAACAGACTTCCTACTTTGCCACAGTTGTTTTATAAACGAAAGCAGAATTTTGTCTTTGTAGTTTCTTTTAACCGTAAAATGATCAAGGTTTTGTTTGTTTGCTTTTAAATTTTTAGCAGCACTTAGTTATAAAAAGAAGCCTCATTGAAAAGAAGGGAAAAAAGCTTTTATTGACTAATTCTCTTAGCAACCACTAATGGTATTAATATTAAAACACAAGACTCTTTAAGCACAAAGGAACTGTAAACTTCTTTGTCACTTCTAAAATAGCTAAGCTTAAATGTTACTTAAAAAAGCAAACACTTCTCATAATCTAATCCACTCAATTCTAGCAAGATAAAGAGACTGAATATGGTTTTAAAAATTGCTCATTTTTACTGTACTTACAAAAAAATCGCTCTTTTGCTCATAACATTATGTCACACATATAATTATTAGTTTAATTTATTTTTTTATGTTTATTGAATTTGTTGGGGTGACATTGGTTTGCAAAACCATACAGGTTTTAAGTGTACAATTCAATAAAACCTCATCCGTACAGTATTTGGTGCACCATCACTCTGAGCAAAGTCTCTTTCCATCCCCATTCTCTCCTCCTCTTTGCCTCCTCCATCTACCCACCACCCTCTCTTTCCTTCTGGCGGTCACCACACTGTTCCGTGTGTGTGTGTGTGTGTGTGTGTGTGTGTGTGTGTGTGTGTATGTGTGTGTGTGTATGTGTGTGTGTGTATAAAATATTTTTTACCTAATCCCTTTACATTCTTTCAGTCAGTTCCCCAACCCCCTTCCCCTCTGACAGCTGTCAGTCTATAATAATTAAGCTTCAGCAGTAAAACAGTAATCTGGTAAACTAATTCAATACTGTTTAAAAGCCAAGATAAAGGAACATGAAAGAAAGCATTTGTACCCTTTTGTATATAGTAACAGCAATAGTAATAATAGTAGAAATAATAATAACAACAACAATTACTGGTCTTGAGTGTTTTCTATTTGCTAAGCAACACACTAAGATCTGTACAATACATTCACTCTAATTGAGAGCTGGCTTCTCAAATATGATGCATACATTCCTTAAATAAAGCAATAGAAGAAGTGAGTTTAGTATCTATAATTGCATACCAGGTTAAGGATGCAGTAATTTTTTTGACTTGCAGTTAGATTTTGATGGTGTGTGTGTGTATGTGTATGTGTGTGTGTGTGTGTGTGTGTGTGTATTTAATCTATATTAGTATACACAAGAGTATCCATCTATGCCAAGAGCTTTTCACACAGTAAATTGTGTGAGATCAGCATTTAAATTATTCTTTCTTCTGTTATTGTCCTTCTTCCCTTCCTTCTGTCTCTTGCATCTATCCCCCATCTCTGCTGTTGCAATGATGTATTTGACTAAACTAAAAAGGACTAAAGTGCTGTTGTACTCCCAGATATTAGCATTTAGCTCAAACTGCCATTCTGTGGAGTAACATCATTCCCATTATTCATATAATAAAACTGATCTTAAGACAGAATTAGTAACATTCCAAAGAATATGTAGCAAATAAATGAATAGAGAGATGATGGATGCATGCATGCATGGATGGATGCATGCATGCATGGATATATAGATAGATAGATAGATAGATAGATAGATAGATAGATAGATGATAGATAGATAGGTAGATAGGTAGATAGATAGATAGATAGATAGATAGATAGATGACACCCAAATTCCTAAATTTGTACAACTATGATTAAGTGTGGGTCTGTGGAGTATGAGTATACAATATTTCCTCCCACATTTTATCAGTATGACCATACGAGGTCAGAGAAGCCCCAGTAGATCAGTAGCTTCAACTGCCTCCAGCTGAGGCTCATTCTGTGTGAAAGATAAAAGGACAAAAAGTTTCCAGTAACAAGAAGAGTCTGTGAGTAAGCACCAGAAGTAGTAGTACTACAAGGGTTCAAAAAATCAGGCTGTTTAAAGGAGTGAAAATGTTAGGAATGGCCTATGGAGTAGGGGCCCAACCAGAAGCCCAGAAGTGAATGTTAAGTAGGTGACAAGGAGAGAGCTCAAATTTGAAACAATATTAAACCATAAAATAAGTATAAGGCAGTCCAAAAGTATTTTGACTTTTCCTATAATTATTTATTTGATTAAAAACATATTAAATACTATTTAAAAATAATGTGTGCCCAGCTTTGTTGATATCCCAAACATAATTTTTCCCATTATTTTATCTATTGCTAATCGAACAGTGTAATTTTCTTATAATTCCTCCCTATTTGTAATTAATTCTAATGTAAAGTTACCGTTCACAAGACACAGAACACCAAAAGTTCTAATGAATAAACTTTACATTAAAACTTAACATTATTTCACTGACTAGGCTTCAATTCAAAATTAATATCAATAGCAACTATAATCACTACCTATTTGTCATTGTAAAAGTTTCTAAATATTTTAGATTTGAGTCCTCAAGAAGAATACTCATAAACACTATAGGAGGAATATAGAATAAGTAAGAAGACACAAAGTTTGGGCTTATTAGTTATGTCTTTATTATTACCTAATATATGTCAGATAATGCATTAGAAAAGTTGTAGATATCAATCATAATTAATAATATATTAGTCTCTTCTTTTCATGTGCAAAACACCCTTCTTCTTGATAATAAAATTGAAATTAATAAAGTATTTTCAAAATACTTTGAAAATTGCCTATATTTGTTACTTCCATAAGTAAAAATTTAAATTTAGGGTACAGTTCATAATGTTTTTTAAATGAAAATATTTTTATTATTTTGTAGAATTCTTACCAATATTTTTTTGCCTTAATATTATGGAAAATGTCAAAATAAACTTATGTATTACAAAACACAAAGTAAACACAATGTTATAATATTTAAAAGATAAGAGTTTATTTAAAAAATCTGAGTTAATTAACACTGCCAATTAAGAAATAATGAAGAAATGCTTTCTTTGCCAAGAAGAAATCCTTGGTTAATTTCATTAAAAACATAAAATAAAGTGTCTAGCCTCCTGCCTAACTATGCTTTATATTATTTTTTTAAATATGTTTTTATTTATTTCAGAGAGGAAGGGAAAGGGAGATGGAAACATCAATGATGAGAGAGAATCATTGATTGGATGCCTCTTGAATGCCCTCTACTGGGGATGGAGCCAGCAACTTGGTCATGTGCCTTGATGGGGAATTGATCCATGACCTCCTTAGTTCATAGGTTGTCATCACTCAATCACTAAGTGACATGGTTAATATCCTTGACTTATTTTTACATAGTATCTTATTTTAGGTTCTTTGGGTATAATTTTCTCTTATCTCTAAAATATAAGTATCTTATCCTAATATATGAAAATTTTATAATGAAATTTAGATTTGTATCACCCATTCTCTTTGTTAAATAGAAAGTTAGCATTATAAAGCGGGAAAAAATAGTGTTGGAAAACCACATTCCATTTTATAAATGAAGAGCAAATACTTTCAAGATATCAAAATCATGACATACTAGTAAATTTAAGACAAATAACTCTCTGTAATAGAACTATACATCTCTCTTTGATTCTTTATATTTAATAGCACAAAAAACATATACTTTGAGTAAAATTGTTGCAGGAAATATATATTTGAAATATACTATTGCTCTTTGACATTATTAACCACTTATCATAAAAAAGTAAAATCTTTTAGCAATCTACCAAAGGTAATAAATAATGATAAAAGGGACTTACATGATCAATTAGTTCACGGACCATTCCATTCCATTGTCCATTGGCATCATCCTGGGCTCCATATTTCCCATCCTCTACAAGTCTAATTTCATATGTAAAGCCAAGGATTGTAGATAATTCTCTGAGAAGGTCAATGCAATAGCCTTCAAATCTATCATTCCCATAGAGTGGTTTGTCAGACTTCTTAAACAGGACATAGGGTTCTTCCTGAAAAGAGTGAACATGAAGATAATAGGTATTAGCTAATCATGAAACTATTAGAATTATAGTGCTTCTTAGAAGATAGAAAAATTCACATTAATTTGTGTACACAAGTCAATTTTATTTTTTTCTAGTTGTAATTAATAGTTTGAAATATTAATAAAGTAGATTAACAGCAATATTTGTGCATCACAAAAGGATATTTAAATATAATAATTTTACCTTGACTACATAATAAAAATATAATGTTATGTTTTTAGCATATACCTTAAATCATATATAATAAATAATATGGCATATTATATACTGCATAATACATATAGATATATGTATAGGTATAATATATAGTACATTTAAATATAATTTCACTATTATTACAATACCCACGCTTAATTTATACCATTTAATCAATATTTGATATGTTATTTCAGTGGGATCTATTGATAAATTAATTTTTTAAAAAGTTGTTGCCTAATTACTTACCATGTACTAAGAACTAGAGTAGTACTTTTATATATATTATCATTTTTTTCCTAACAACCAGGAAAATTACAACTATAATTTTTAATTATTTGAGAAAAATAATAGTTTCTTTTAGAATCCTATCTAATATAGAGGGAATATGCTAATTGACCCTCACAATGTCACAAAGATGGTGACACCTACAGCCAATAAGAAAGGAATATGCTAATTGAGTGCTACACCCTCAAAGATGGTAGCACCCACAGCCACAAGATGGGGACACCCAGTCCCCTCAGTCCGTCTGGGGTGGCAGGCATGCAGCAAGGCCAGGCCCACACCCAGGCAGGCCCGGGTATTCCATGCACCTGCCTCTGCATTTTCCCAGTCCCCTCAGCTCCTCCAGCCACCCAGGGCCAGACTGAGGCACAGGCAAGCCTCAGATTGTGGCTGCCCACGTGCCCAGGAATGGCCTGAGGCTAAGGTAATGAGAGCCGGCCAAGGCTTGTGCTGCCGGCAGTGGCAGCAGCAGAGGTGTGATGGGACATCACCTTTCCCTGATCACCAGGTCGCCTCCCGTCCTGAGGGCTCCCGGACTGTGAGAGAAGGCAGGATGGGCTGAGACACCCCTCTCCCCACTAGTGCATGAATTTTCATGCACTGGGCCTCTAGTATATTTTAAAACTAACATTTGCTAAGAACATATACATTCATGCAACATTTTATGAACTACCTACTATGAGGCAGCCCTTTTCTATAAAAGAGAAATCCAAGTCCTCAAGTTCATGATATAGAGAAGAAAACCAATAATAAATGCCTAAACAAATAGAACACGTAACTTTGTCATCAATAAATAGTATAAAAAGGTAAAATAGGGCAATAGGATACACAACGAATGCAAGATATTTGGCAAGATAAGATAAAACACAATTGAGTAATATGTGTGAAATGCTTTTCTAAGGAGAGGAGAGATGCGGTAGTACTTAAGAGAAGGAGTTTGGCCACTTGAAAATCTGAAAGAAGGGGATTTTAGATCAGGACACAGCAAGTAAAAAGTCCTGAGACCAATATGACACTGAAAAGTGTCATATTGAAAAGTTCCAGGAAGAGAACAGCCATCGATGAAGAGATTAAGAAAACAACAACAACAATAACAAAAAACTCCTCATAGACAGGAGAGCAATATGTGATGATCCTTACTCTTTTACAATAGTCATTTTCAAGAAAGGTTAAAAGAATTTCCCAGTTTATATGGTTACCAAGAGATAAAGAGGATCTAAGAAGAGGAAAAGATGATATTTTTAACTCAGATTATTTAAATTCCAGGGTACACATTTTCCCAACTATTTTATATTGCTTTCTATACTATCAGACCATTTATGAAAATCCATGCATGCTGAATTTTTAAATTCATTTAGGTTAAATAACTTTAAATCAGAAATTAATCTGTAGCTAAATTCAAAGCTAGATACTTGGTTTTACATTAGGTAAGAGAATGATTAGTATCCTCTCTAATTTTTATGTACATTGTCACATGTAAACTTCATTCCCCAGAGGTACACAGAGTACTACGAATGTGATAGATATAGTATTTTTCCAACCTTGAAGTTATTATATCCATTTCTGCTCTACTCTTTAAGTGAGATAACATTATTCCATTGATCACAATTTAGATACTCTTGTTACACTGACAAGAGGAAATACTAAAGGTAAACAGCTTTCATGTGCAGAGCATATTCAGGTTCTCTTTTCCTGGTTTTCCCACACAACTTTTGTTATTTTACCATAATATTATTATGTTGAGTAGTGAGAGATGATTTATATGTGTATTTTCTGAACTAGAATTGCAAAATGTACATGGCAAGATAATTACTTAAATTTTCATTAATAGTACCATCTATTAATGGTACACACCTTAGCAGGCTTACAAACAAAATGACAGTATAATAAATTAAATGAAATGGGTTGCTTTGGTCAGTGGCGGTAGGGGGGGGGGGGTAAAAAGGGGGCAGGGGACAAGGGAACTGGAACTTGAAGAGAAAAATTACCAGAGGTCTGTTTCCCTTGGGGGTCCTATTGTAGTAACAAATCCTCAGGTCACTAACCCATGAGCAGAGGGTTAGGGACTTGAGAAGTATATATCATATTCCTCTGCAGAAGAGAAGCCAGCCTGAGAATTTAGGGCTGGGAATAAAAGAAGCATATCGGTTCAATAGATTAATTCTGTCAACTTCATACTTTGGTTTTCATTAAGTTTCTGACTTATAAATGAATTTATGTATATATATTAAATTAATTACATATATAAATTAATTTATTTACATATATTAAATACATATAAAATAAATTATATTAATATGTGTTGATTTAAAAGTCATAAGCACTAGACATTTGTCAAGATCCCTGCACTAATAGCACCATCTAATATTTTCTAAGAACTTACTTTGAGTCAGGCCCTCTTCTATGTGCTTTTCTTAGATTAAATTATTTATTCCTTATTGCAACCCTGTAATGGTCAGTAACATTATTGTTTCTATTTTATACGTGAAATAACTGAGGACAGGGGTGCAAAGTATTTTGCCTAACAACAGCACACAATTCGGTAGTCAGACTACTAGACAGCATTAAATGGTTCCTAGTGATCATTTCCAAACAGCATGTGAATGCATAATTGCACATAGCTCATTGGTTATCTTAATATGTACTGTATGGCTTTATTTATTTTTCAATCAACTGGGATTAACTTCTGGTCTATGCTGTATGCAAAATAATATACTTACTCATTAAACAATCCAATCAAAACAACAATGTAGAGAAAATGAGTAACTATATAATCCAAAACTTCATTTTCTACATCACAAATTATCTCCTTTCCAAATAAGAATGCATGTTTTTAACTTAATAGTACAGAATTTAGGAAAATAGCATATTTAAAAACCTTCAGACTCAGTAATACATGTCTAAAAAATGCTCCTATTTTCCTATTTTCACTGTTCAATCACCATTGTTTCTATTTTTACTGATTTGTTCCAAAATATTTATGGTATAGTTTTTCACACAAATTTACTTGAACACTGAAGAAAAATATGGTAAAAGCTAGCGAACACTGAAGGATCCAGGAGGCATGTGCATGGGAGGCATATGTGCACAAGGTACAAAAGCAGAAAAAAATTTCAAGAATTATTATGCTATTTAAATGGCATTAATCTAGCATGTAGTAATAACCATTTGACCTATTACCTTGATTTTCTTCACCTATACCCTAATAAGAAAACTTCTGTCAGAGGCAAATAAATTCGTTGACCCCTGTGAGATTAAAAAGTCTCCTTAGACAGGCTTTCGCATTACTAGAAAAAAAATTATGTGGCCTGAGTGCATCTTTTTAGTATTTATGGATCTCTACAATGTCAAATACCATTTCCCCATATTTAATTCTGATAAGTAAGACACAGTATTCCAGCTGCGATTCCTATCTCCAGTTACACTATGTCACAAGATAGTTTACATGGAGTTATGACTCTCCTTTAAACTCTCTTTCTCTGCTTCGCACAGCACAAGAATAAATAATATACTCATGTAAGAAAAGAAAAATGGTACCAGAAGCAATTACTGTACCACATATTGAGTTCAATGAATAATATGATAAAACTCTCTTGGGCAACTTCACTGATTTCTCATAGAGTCTTAAATCTCCACATCAGCATTTGCTAGAGGTAAAGGCACTTCATTCTACTGCCATCTGTAATAAGGATTTGTCAGCATTTCCACTATCAACCCCAGTTTTAAGGAACCTGGCAACTCACATATTTTTATCAGCATTGGATGGGGGTTGGCACAGAATAAACCTAAAATAAAGTTCTGAAAAAGCAAAGTATGTTTTAAGATTCAGGGGAACAAAATGTTTTATTTATATGTAATGAAATTTCATGATTATAAGTGTATAACTCATATATATCTCAGTCCTTATCTACAGAGAGCTAAATTATCTTCTTTAGATGTTAACCCTTGAAAGATATTGTTTTACCCATGATATTCAAAAGACAAGGCCATAAAGTGCAAATTAATATTATATTATAATATGTAAAACATATCTTGTTATTGCAATAATAAAGCTAAACTAATTTATTTTTTTGAACATGAACTGAACTATTATGTGCCAGCACTCTTTTAGGCTCCAGATATACAAAAATGAAAAACAAAAGAAAAATATACCTAAGAACTCTGCCCTCCTGGAGCTCCTATGTAGTGATGAACTTAAGACACTTATCTATCATATAATCCTGTATTATTTGCATGGCTACTCTGCTTCATTAATCATTAGGACAAAATATTACTTTAGGACACATTTCTAAGAAACACAACTGGGTGTCTTGTTTTAGAGCATAATGTTCCTCTCTTGATATCAATTGGCTCCAGTCTGGTTCTGAATTTACTCTATTATCAGAACATTTTAAAAATTAGTTTGTGGCAACCAGCTGAAACCCAAATCACTTATGGAAAACATTATTCTCAATTAAGAACAGTATTAAAGGATTTATATTTTATGC